GGTAATTATACAATGCTATGCACCCACAAACAACGCAGACCTCGAAAAGAAAGAAGAATTCTACAGACAACTGCAGGCAACAATGGACAATGCTCCAGTCGGTGACATTAAAATACTAATGGGAGATATGAACGCTAAACTGGGACCAGACAACACAGGAAGGGAACTCATCATGGGTAGAGAAGCTCTCGGAGAAATGAATGAAAATGGAGAACTCTTCGCCGACTTCTGCGCCTTCAATGAACTAGTGATTGGTGGCAGCGTATACAAAAACAAGGATATCCACAAGGCTGCATGGGTGTCACCAGATGGACAAACCAAAAGCCAAATTGACTTCATCTCAATCTCAAGGAAGTGGAGGCGCAGCCAGCTGGACACAAAAGTAAGAAAAGGAGCAGACGTTGGCTCAGACTACTATCTCGTACAAGGGACAATCCAAATCAAATTAAAAGCTTTCAGGTAAACAGGAGCTGAAGCTAGACCAAAAGCCAAGTTTGACACTCAAAAACTGAAGGACCAGGCTACAAAGGACATCTCCATTGCAAGCATAAGGGAAAAAGCCGAGACACAAATCAACACCAGAGAAAAGGTCAGCGTCGAAAAGCACTGAGACAACTTGAAAACGGTGTGGAGCCAAACCTGCATTGAAGTTCTAGGCAGAAAGAAGAGGTAGGACAAACAGTGGCTCACTACGGACACTTGGAAACTAATAGAAGAGAGAAGGATGTCGAAACAAAAGATTATCCAGTGCACCGACGAGCAACGAAAACAGGAGTTGAATGCAAACTACAATACACTGAACAAAGGAGGAAAGAAAAGTGCCAGAGAATACATAATTGTATCATCATCCAGAGTCACTTATGAGTTCTTGGCTTCATATGCAAACTCAGTGGATTCGTCAAGAAAAACTTCTCATCACAAATTCCGGAAGGTTATCTAAATACTAGTTACTGGAATCGTTTGCTTTCAAAATCGGTTATGTCTTTGGCTGATTTCATCCAGAGAACTAATGAAAATATAAGTTGGATGGATAACCGTTGCATTATTGAATGGTGATGTTCAACGTTGCACACCAATGGTCTTATGCAGGATAAAGGTTAGATTAATTCCTTTCACTCCTTAAGCCTTCTTCAAATAATGGAGATGTGAGTCATTGACTTAAGCACTTGGTTTTTAGTTATCTGATCAAGGTTTCAAAACCCCACTCCATCTACTTCAGTATGGACAACTAGACAGTGTCATCAGCTCTCACATGACAAGTGTGGCTCCTAGTCCTCTAAGTGAAAAATTCGTTCCAGGTAACTGAGCTCAAACAAAAATCACCTTAAATACATAGCCTCATCAATGGACGGAATGTATTCTTAAAATATCTTCGAAAACACCAGTATCCATCTTAAACTTGAATACTTCGTAATTTAAAAACATTTAAAGGCGAACGTATAGATTTTAAAACAATTTCCTGGAATATTAGATAACCAGGAATAGAGGTATTTATAGATAGGCCAAATACAGATATGATGTATAAAAACTCAGTAGTTTGGTTACAAATCCTTTCCTCTACACAAATAAAAGTAAGAACGTTTGGTTTATCGTTAATTTATTAGAAGGACTTCCATCTGTCTGATCTTTGCACAGAGAGTATCTCTTAATTTGAAAAGAGAATATCATTTATTATTTATACATGTTTCAGAACTCATTTATCTTATTAGTGAGTAAGTGACCACCTCTAAACCATCTAGGTACATTTTCGAAATGATAAACGTTTTGTTTCAAGAGAAAATATTTTAAAGTTCCTCCTTAATTAATTAAGCTTATTTACATTGACGATGTGTATTTTAAGAGATCGCATACTGAAACGTGACCTTACCTAGAGTAAGTATAGTAGTGATGAATGTCGATATGAGAAAATAAGACAAATCCAGCCCGGATATCTTAAAATAACATTTACGACCGACATGTGTACAAATCTTGATTAATAAACAACCGATTCTTTACTTCGGGAAATAGATATAAAAATAAAATACAACTTCAAAGGAAGGAAAGTGGTAATTATACAATGCTATGCACCCACAAACAACGCAGACCTCGAAAAGAAAGAAGAATTCTACAGACAACTGCAGGCAACAATGGAAAATGCTCCAGTCGGTGACATTAAAATACTAATGGGAGATATGAACGCTAAACTGGGACCAGACAACACAGGAAGGGAACTCATCATGGGTAGAGAAGCTCTCGGAGAAATGAATGAAAATGGAGAACTCTTCGCCGACTTCTGCGCCTTCAATGAACTAGTGATTGGTGGCAGCGTATACAAAAACAAGGATATCCACAAGGCTGCATGGGTGTCACCAGATGGACAAACCAAAAGCCAAATTGACTTCATCTCAATCTCAAGGAAGTGGAGGCGCAGCCAGCTGGACACAAAAGTAAGAAAAGGAGCAGACGTTGGCTCAGACTACTATCTCGTACAAGGGACAATCCAAATCAAATTAAAAGCTTTCAGGTAAACAGGAGCTAATTGAGTTGGTGGGTAATTGAGTGCCAACCACTTTTATTCCTGCCCTTTTAAGAATTCTACGTAATATTTCCAAGGTTCCTTCCTTGTATGGTATTACTACTGATGGTTTAGATTCCTTGTTGTTGGTGCCGACATTAATAATAATATTATTATCACTATTACTACTGTTATCATTATTACCACTCTCGCTACTGTCATTATTTATTTTTACATTTCCTCACATATTTCCTGACTAATTTATCCGGGTGACTATGAAGTTTCAACCCTTCTTTTATGTGTATCACTTCCTGTTTTAGATTTGCCTTGGTACTACTTAATTTATGTGCTCTGTCACTTAGACATTTCACCGTTTTTACTGACATAGGATGAGTTGATCGGAAGTCTCAGATATCTGGAAAATTCCCCTACCCCTACGACAAATAGGAGAAAACCATAAAACTCAAGTTTCAAAGTCTTGTGATTACAGTCGATGTGATTATGAACCGCAATAAATTTTGTTCGAAACGTCATCCAGTAAATAATAGTGTTTCACTGACTGTGTGATACATGTAATAACCAATTAATATGGAATCACTAAACAATTTGTTTAAAATTGAAACGCCTCTTTTTTACCAAAAATAGACCTGTACATAATGTGCTGTTTCTGAAAGAATACTGATCTGAAATTGAGAGCGATCAGTGTGACTCATAGTTAAGCTGATGACGTCCTTATGTTACCTGAAATACCACCTAAAACTGGTACCCATACAACGAAATTTACAGAAAAATACTCGAGAAATATGAGATCAAATTCGTCAACAGGAAGTTGATACGCAACATAGTCAGCATTATTCAGGTTGAACAGAGCGGGTTAGAGATTTCTCATTTAACAAAGAAAAATGTGACAGCAAACAGTAATTATAATTGTGTAATTCCTCGATAATTCAACGCTTAAGCAAAGGCAGTTTCAAAGTACAAGTACTAAGTCGGTTTGTTTTTCACAAAAGAACCAAGTTGACCAGTAAAAGCTGAATGTAGCTTAGTGATTGAGAAACGGTGTATGCAGTTGATTGCGATAGTCTTTTATTGTGTTTCCCAGATAGACAAGGTTTTTGTCACTACTAACGAAACAAAAAGCGTTGTGCTACGCAGTGTCTCATACTAGTCTCAAAAAACAAATCATCTTAAAGTTAACTAACAAATTAATCAGTAGGAAGACTGAAATTACTTATCATGAAATGACGATGTTATAACATATCCACTTTCATAATTTTCTTCTAGAAACTGAAGTTTTGTCAGTGTACAGCCTAATAAATCAGAGACACAATTACACGAAGTTTAACAATAATGATAATGTGCGTCGGTGGTATAGCGGTTAGGACCCTCGCCGACCATGGACATGGTCCGGGGTTCGATCACCGGCGGACGAACTCCTTTACCTCGCTGAGCCAGAAATAATGCTGGTAAAGAGGAAAGGTTGGGTATGAGGCTAGCAACACTGCCACAGAAACTTCAAGCCTTCTAGCTTGAAGCCCCATGTTCCACTGAGGAACGTGAAGGGAAAAAAAGTAACAATAAAATGGTGACTTGAGAAAGTCTTCTCATAAACGGCTGCTGATGAACAACTGAAGTTTAACTACTTGTACGTTGATTCATATACACCGCATCATAATAAACTCAAGTTTATACTGAATTGAAAACACTGTGATGTAGCAGATGAGCGTTTTTATTTTAAATTAAAACACTTACAAAAAAGCGTAGATTAAAACCAAAACACAGCCAAAATCAAACACACACGGAGTTATACCATTTTTAATTACACACAAATGTCTCGCACAACTAATTTTCAGTGTAATATAATTCATCAAACATCCTTACAAAAGACTCATCGTATTATAAGATAAATGCAAAAATATACATATACAAAATCTGGCACAACAATAAGGCCTTCAGTTACATGCTTATCATCAGTAATGTCACAGTATGACAATCCATCTTTGCCAATAAATATTTCAATGCCTACAATTAACAGATGACAAACACAATGTTATAACTACGGGAGTTATACTGTGAGAAATAAAAAATAACAAATAAGGATTATTTTCCAGAAGTGAATCACAAATTATGAAATAAGAAAGACATAACACGAAAATAGTGGAAATAATTCCATGAGGTTACATTTACAAAGTGGTTGACAAAAGAAATAAAGAACTGACGAAGGTTACAAGTCACAGACAAAACATCTGACCAATTTTCCAGAAATTCGAAAATATATGACTGAAATAAATATCAAGTGTTAACCATTTAATAGCATGCATTAAAATTTTTTCATAGACAAACACAGATATGGACCCAATAAACAGTAACAATGAGATAATGGAGAGCATCACAATCATAGCGAAATAGTTCACAGACTAAGTCTCAATATTTTATCACCAAGCTGATATGAACCATCTCATGTAGGAGACACAATAATGACAGTATCTGTCTATTTAGTTTGAAGTTAAAATGATTCTATCACAGGAGACCAAATAAACTGAAGTGAGTTTTTGGTTTTATTATATCTTGAATAGTCGGAACGATCTGTTTCATTATTTGATGATGTCATTAATAGACTTTGTTCCATAGCGTCAATAAGATGAAGTTCATTCTTGAATGAATCAGTGTTCCGACCACAAACTTGATTTCTAGTTGAAGTTGGATTACCGAATAAATAAGACCAGAATGACTGAACTGGTGCACAATCTTCCAATTCACTAGCTTCACCCAAAAGTCTTGAGCGTTGAACTATATAAATATAAAATATTTTAGTGAGACAATAAAGCTTACAGATTATGAATAATGAAAGGGTAAATGGCGAACATCTTAGGTGTTAGAAATTTTCGAAGCGGTATCGTATTACACTTAAGAGGAGTTAACAAAGACACTCAATAACCAAATAAGTAGTTAAATGAATAAAATCACTTAGTAGAAAGAGAAGGAGCAAATGAATTTAGGTCATAGATAAGTATTAAGCCGCGATAACTTCACTTGCTACACGTAATAGCGATAATTTCCACATTATGACTGAAACTGAATAACTCACTTTCCAATTTAACAGTTACTAGATTATCCAACCACTGAACTGTTAAACAGTTATGTGAGTAGTCAATTCCAGTTCTAGTGGAGCTAACCAACTCAGCAACAAAAGCTAGATGAAAGTTCTCTTACTCTAATTACTATTATCAAACTAAGACGGATGAGTGTTAATTTGGTTTTGAACGACAAATGGATTCAAGACTCCCAAATGTCGAAAATTGTTATAAATACAAGTTACAAGGAAATTACAGTGACTTCACTATATACTATATACAGTGAAATGATCAGTCAGTTGGAATAATCAAGAGATAATGATGATGATAAGAAATTCTAATAACTCACCTTGTGGCTTTTGAGTGAAGGGAGACGGGTGCGAATAATGATGATTGTTTGGATGAGACGAATATCCAGAAGGCAGATGATCACTAATTGACTGGGTAATGTAAGCATCCATCAGAGTGTTTTTATTGTGTGGATCATGTGTGTATATAGCTGGCCGGGACTGTTTTGATAAATCGTAACCAAGCTAGAAGGAAAATTAAGAAAACCATGCTTATCCCCACAGGAAATTGCAGATTGTAAACTGAATTCTAAGTTTAGTTCATAAAATGCTTAACGCGAGTTAAAGTAATACAAATTTTCAGGATCTGTTATCTCCTTAATGCGTACACAATAACATTGTTACTGATAAAATTGAAAACCTAATTTGTGAGAAAATTGGTAATATCATAAATACTGCGTTAAAAGTTACCAGTCAAATGTTGCATAGTCTACACAAGAAGACAAGATAGTAAATGCTTAAAAAGTTTCCTAGTTGGATAGCAAACTTTGTTATTTATTATTTATTGCATACAGATTGTTTTTATAACCAGGTGTCTAAACAAAATTGGATAATACATTTTGTAAATAAGCACATACTCTAAGTTTATCTAAACTCCTGATAAAATCATTCATATACACTTAATTACCTGAGATAATGAACTGGATACTAGTCGTTGAGGGACTTGAGACATCCATGAATTGAACGAATTCTGGGAACTCAGTGTGTAACTTAGGCCTAAATTCAACGAGCTTTGATTTTCGTTTCCTGAAGGCTGTCCAATAAGAAGAGCAGCAAAACACAAGGCGAACACCATCAGGCAAGTGGATGGCGAACCGTTACTGTGATTAATTCCATGAACAGAATCACTGTTTCCACTAGAGTTGGTAGTCAGACGATTTTGATGACTACTTGTTTTATGTAAATCAGTAGAATTCGACGATCCTGAAGCATTATTCAATTTCGATTTGCTGACAAGTTGTTGTAAAAGACGGAGTTGACCCAAAAGAGAACGATTTGTACTTTCCAACCCGTCAACACGGCGTTTCAAGTCTATATTTTCTTGTGAATAAATACTTACTCTGGAAGGGAAAATTTTTTAAATGTCAGTGAAATGGTACGTACAATGTATTATTTAAAAAAATTACAGCAACTAAACAAGATATACGTCATGCTTAAGATATATTTAAAATTGCTAATAAGTGAAAAATTAATGCATTAATTTCCCTAGGATAGTAATCTGATGTTCCATCCAAGAACAAAACAAGGATTATTAGTTAACTTGATATCGTTATATAGCGCCAAATTGTTAACGCATACACTCTAAATCAACACTTCTGCATAAAAAGAGGAGGAATATCGACAAAATTTACTAGCATTATAAAAAAACCGACTATAAGAACGTGACTGTACTATGTATACTGATGGGTAAAGAAAGACTTCAAAAATCTATAGATGGGCTGAATTCTATAATTAACTTTAAGTTGACGTAAAAATTGACAGTCTACAAAAGCTTACAAGCATTGTTCAGAAAATCACCAAATACCATTAAATGCTAACTGTGACCACCATACTTCGACTGTCCAAAAAATATTTCTAGATATTTATATTTATTACTAACTTCCTCCAATGCACATAACCTGTTCGTTGGACATTCTATATATTGATTATGCGCAAACCAAATCAAAACAAACAATAAAATAATACACAAAACAAAATCGAATTAGAAATCAGTTTTGTACGCCAGAAATACACATACATAAATCTCACCTAGGGAAAGAATTATTTTATACATAGAACAGCCAGTTTCCATATGTGAATGAATAAAGTGATTTTAATACGACTTAGTGAGCCATTTACTGTATGAATCTTTTGGTGAAGTGTTAATAAGCAACACTACGATTAAAGCAACTTCTTATGTCTGTTTGTAATTACAGAGGGTAGAACGACCTTTTAAGCTTGTTGTAACGAATAAGACATGATAGATAAATAATGCATTTTACTTGGCTTACTCTTCAAAAAAACTATTAAATTGACCACTTTAGCTTCAGTGTATGTTAATTCTACTGACAAATGAAACCATGTGGTATGTTACATCACCGCTGCTTTTAGATGTATAAAGTTTACAATTAGAATAAAGAGTAAGACTAAGACCGACCGAATAATCATACGTTCGATGCTTGTAAATGCTATGAAATGATCTTTGAACTACTGCTACTACTATTATCGAACAAATTCACCTTTTTTACACTGATTACACATTACGTGCATTATTTTTGATGCACACTGAGTACAGGATTATAGACACCACGTGCAATAAAACTAAGCTTAACTCCTAGAACATTTGTTCAATAAAGCTTTTTTCGGTGCTTTTCATCAATCAAACCAGCTGATATATATGTATATATATATATATATATATATATGGACGGATTAAAATTGAAAGAAAGTCATCTCTGACGGTTGTTTAACTATGTATATTTACTAAGAATTAAAAAGTAATCCTATTACTGATTAATAGGTGATTGAGTCATAATCTAAAAAATTTATTAGGAAGTGGTTAGTAAGAATAAAAAGAAATTACGTGATAATTAACGACACAACAGAAATAAGGGTTTGAAATTTCATAAGGTGAAGATTGTTCATTATTTGAGAAGCCAAATGGTTGTGTCCACTTGAGAATTGTGAAGAAGGTGAGGAAAAAAACTTAATAAAATGCGCGAAAGGAACATGTTACAGTGATTATAATGAATTACTTACTGAAAGTAAAAGCTAACAGGTTGGAAAGAGGTTAACGTTAGCACTTCATAGTTTGACAAATAAATTACAAACTAATCCACTTAGACAGTTCATAAATCAAGGATTAAGAATAATGTTGAACAGGATATTCAGACTATCAATAGGATTCGATAAAGATATGTTTGAGAAGATTTGTAGCCCAGGTGGATGTCTGAACTAGACAGCTTAGTCGCAACCAAAAACTGGTGTCACCGAAACTAAACTATCCAGCTTAGAGAACATAACTACACTGTAAGGTTTGATAACACAACATAAAAAACTCGCTATGAGATATAGTATACACAAGAAATGCATGAATTGAGTGTCCGATGCAGTTTTGGATGCATCAGCAAAATATACAGGCAGACTGTCAAGAATTTACACCACATCAACCTTATCTACCACACTATCGTGGGTTAACAACAGTATAGATGTGGACTGAAAAATCAGCATAAAACACGAAATCAAAAAATGAAAGGTTAGTGTGAAGATGGTGCGTGACAAAGGATAAAAGCATTTTTGCAATGGGTCATGAGCACGTTTCTGTCATCGATTAATTTTTAATTACAAATCAATTGGCTAACAGATACGCCTGTCAGTTATGTTTCAAGAGCCAACGAAGTAATCTACATGACAAAGCTGAATAATACTTGATACACCAATGATAATGAAGCTGGGTGATTTTTCATTTGTGTTGTAATATTATAGAACCAAACATAGGCATATATACGTGGAATTCGAAAACCGTAGATTTGATAATTTAAAGGCATTCCGGATTTCTTGTTGGGATGAAGTCAAATTAAACCCTTGCTAAGCAGGCTAATTTCTGTGATTTGGTCTTCATATTCTTTATAAGGTGATACGTATTCTTGAAACCAAATGTTTGATATTTTGTTTACAGTTTCAATGAACTTTTATCTTTCCTTATTAGCCCGTAAGATAGATTTGTGCGACGGTTAACAATGTTCATTACTACTACACGTATACTCAAGTCGTCAAAGTACCTTAATGTTATTATAATCAACTGGGAGGTATCCACTTATAGCCATCGGCTAGATCCATTTCGACAGAAACACAGTATGCAATAAGTGCACAGTATTACGAAATCAATTAGTAGTGAGCGACATTCAATTTTAATTAGTGATCTAATGTCACTGATGTACTAAAAACAATAATGATGAAAAATATATTCATTTTAGTCTACGCGAACCACCTACATAAAAATATCAGCATACAATTTACGCTTGAGCCGGATATGCTTATTTATTTTTGGACATATGAACATGATGAAGAGTATAGAACTCGTATCCTTCAAGCTCAGCATGTCTTCATAACATAACATATAAACAGGAGATATCCATCTCACTGATCAATACATACAAAGTAAATATACCAAATAGTTTTCTATGCACTGAAAATGTTGTTGCAGAAGAAGGCAAAAACAAATATACTTCAAACAATCTTAGTAAACAAAAAGAAAAAGAAAAAAAGAATTTACGCGAAGTCCATGTTATTAATATTATTATTATTATTATCGTATCTACTCTATTATGTACTTTGGAGGATGTCGCATATACACATGGAGTTTAGCATAGATAAAAATAGCAATATTACGTGTATTTCAAAATCACCCATCACCTCCTTCTACAGAAAGAGAAAAAGTATAATGTGAGAATCCAGTGCGCCAGTAATCGATATTTTTTATTCTAAAATTGATTAACCAGTTTAGTGATAATAAATCTTATCTGGCTATACTTTGACTAACTAATTATTCAAAGTGCAAATTATATATGTATGTAGAATTTGAGTTCGTGATTAAAAACACAATTAGAAAAACACGCCGCCATGAGTACACTGTGCAGTGCACCGCAGAAATATTGACAAGAGTAGTACTAAGATGATATGAACACTCTGTAGTGAGAAATAATCTCTAGTACTACATGATTATAATAGATTTTTGGAATCGTTTACATAGAGGTAAAAGTTGAGGCAATTTTCAGATTAAGGAATTTGCTATAAAGAATTGTTCAGAGTTAAAGCTAGTGGATGTCGTTTTTAGTAAATACATTCCTAACATTCACAATGCCAATAGGTCTTTAAATTCTCAATAAAGATGATGGTACACCTTCGCTTTATAGATGGGACTACACTTAGTCCATAATCGATGACAACTGGAGAAGTAGTTTCTTCTTCAACTTACGCAATTATGCTATGCAATGCCACCATATAACGCTCTCATTTGTATACATTATAACTTACAGATGACCAGTGGAAAATGTCAAGGGGTGGATAGTTTGTAATGTCATAATGTCTAAAACATTTAGCTTCTTCCGCTTCACTAGCCGTATATAAAATTACTGAGTAATTCCGGTGACATCTGCAGCCTATTAGGAGATGAAGTGACTAAATCTTGAAAGAAGATAACACGAAGTTCAGCAAAGATATCTTTCCGGAGATTTCACGATCTGAAAAAGAGCAAGGACCCCTCGGTAGTGAAGGGACTTCAACGGGTTTCTACGTTACTCTGTTACACTTGCAGAAGTAAATGCAAAATTGGAACTTTTCGAGAGCTATATTAATAATCGTGAATATCAAAAATGCGTAGACATCATATATATCCTTATTTAAAAACTCTTCAACGTCACACTGGAAACTTCATCGATTCCATAAGTTCACGTATATTCGAATTGCAAAGAAACATATCACACAGATCTTCCACTCTTCGTGAATTGTCATCATGCGACAAACAATTGTTCAATGAATATGTTACACTGGTGCAGAACACAAGAGCTGAAAATGTTAAATCAGATTTGAACATAAGCCTGAAACCCGTGGAAGTCCAGAATAAGTTCCCCAGCGATCGTAATAAATTTGTCTTCAATCACTCTTCAGTTTCGTTATCAACGGTACACCTAGAAGCCCTGTTTCTTGAAATAAAAGTCTGTGACGTTAATCTTAATAGCGACAGACTTCACACGAACATTCAATTCGAGAATCTCACAAGCCAAACTCATAATACTACTCCAGTTTCCGATGTGGAATTCCAACACTTTAAGTCAACAATCTTTGACTGCTGTAGTCGGTATCTCAGCTTAAAAACTCAAACTCGACGTCTCCTGACAAAAGAACATAGACAACTCAAAGAACTGAGAGACAATGAAGATTTAATCTTTGCTGAACTTTCTTTGGAATGTCGTTATGGGTGTTTTCCACGTACTAAATCTTGAGACTTGTCTACTAGTTGAATGATGACGTAGTCAAAACACCCTCTGAACTCCAAACATAAAAATTTGTAATCAAACAG